CCTCTTTCCGGGATGCGTACAAAGCCCTCCCCCGTGCCCCATTCGGCCAATCAGATCACCGCACCATCCTGCTCCTGCCCGCCTACAGGCAGAAGCTGAAACAGGAAGCTCCAACCATGAGGGCGGTGCACCGTTGGACGGACCAATCGGAGTCTACGCTGCGGGACTGTTTTGATCACGCGGACTGGGAAATGTTTCACGTGGCTGCTAATGGCATTGATGAGTACACAGACTCAGTCTGCGGATTCATCAGGAAATGCGTGGAAGATGTCGTCCCATCCAGAACAGTTTAATCCTTCCCAAATCAACTGGCGGCACGGAGCACCGCTTTTGCCTCCGCAAACACATCGGACTACAAACACGCACATTACCAACTCCGGAAGACGATCAAAGCAGCCAAACGTGAATACAGGGACAGGGTGGAACAACAGTTTGACAATCCTCGGAGTATGTGGCAGGGACTAAACACAATCACAGACTTTAGAGGGAAAACCAGCACACCGCAGACCACGGCCTCTCTGTGTGAGGATCTAAACGTATTCTACGCTAGATTCGACACAGCGAACACCATGAGACCGGACAGTGTGCGCACCGCGGATGACATCAGTGCGCACACTGTGTCTGAGGAGGATGTGCGGAGGTGCTTCAGGAACGTGAACGCGCTCAAAGCTACTGGTCCGGACGGGATTCCCGGCCGAGTCCTTAAGTCATGCACGGCTCAGCTGGCTGGAGTGTTTACACACATCTTCAACCTTTCCCTCTCTCTGTCTGTAGTCCCAGCCTGCTTCAAAATGTTCACCATCGTCCCTGTACCCAAATCCTCCACCATCTTCTCATTAAACGACTGGCGACCTGTAGCCTTGACCCCCATCATAAGCAAATGCTTCGAGAAGCTTGTCAGGGACTTCATCTGCTCTGCACTACCCGACTCACTGGACCCTCTACAGTTCGCATACCGCCACAACAGGTCCACTGATGATGCCATAGCCCTGACACTACATACTGCCCTGTCACACCTGGAGAAGAGAGACACGTATGTGAGAATGTTATTTGTAGACTACAGCTCAGCATTCAATAACATTGTTCCCTCGAAGCTGGACAGGAAACTGCAGGATCTAGGACTGAGCAGCTCCCTCTGCAGCTGGATCCTTAACTTCCTGTCTGACAGACTCCAAGTGGTCAGGCTGGGCAGCATCACCTCATCCCCCATCACACTGAACACTGGTGCACCACAGCTGCTGTGGAGAGAGTGAGCAGCTTCCGCTT